ATTTCACTAATTCTTTCAAGCCTCAGTTTTCCCAGTAATAAAATGGAACTACAATATCAGTGTGCTGTGTGGACTAAATGAGGTCCAGGGGTGAAAAGTGTCCATGGACTGTAAATTGTCATAGAAGTACAAAGGGGCAATAAAATGATTATTTAATGGCAAAGCTCAATACTCAGGTTCAGGACTCTACCTCAATCTTTAATTCTGATCCCAGTTTAATGCGTTACTAGATTTCCCCTGTTTCCATATATAAAAAAAGGGTATATCAGTACTATCTAATAGTTTCGTGAGTGTAGCTGTAAGTGCTTGTAAAAAGAGTAGCTAGCAAATTATCTGGTACATAGTAAACACTGACAATAATATCATTGTCAAAATGGGATCTTGGCCATGGGTTTCATAACAGAACCCATTAGTTTCCTAATCAGGAAATGTGGTGGAACCAGGTTTATAAGTTTGGATGTTAGAGAGCAACATCTGACTTTCCATCCCCTGACACTTCTTGGAATTAAGAAACAAATGGCAGCTGGTAGCTGGAACATCAGGTCCTTCCACTCATCAGAAGACAGCAGCTGCAATGGCACAGCAGAGCCTGAACTCTGCTGTGCCTTCTTATGAGCTACAAATTCAGTGTGCATAGTGGCTTTCTGTAGACTCAGTAGGGTTGCTGGGCAGGACATGGGCCACAAGAAATCTCTGCTCTGACTGACATGGGATAGAAGGGCAGAGAGGACCATCCATCAGTGTAGCTAAGATCTGAAGCACCTGGCTACTCAGGTGAAATAAAATATTTACTGATCTCAGAATCCAGCTGTTCACTTGAACACTCCTAAGAGTGTGCTTTGTTGCCTTGAACTTAGCCATAGAATCAAAGGAAAGAGTACGGAGAACAAAGCTGGGCTCTAAGGGGTTCATGCCCATAATCTTAGCTATTTTGGAGGCTGAGATGTGAGGATCGAGGATCAAGGTTCAAAGCCAGCCAAGGCAAGAAAGTCTATGAGATGCTTATCTCCAATTAACCACTAAAAAAAGCTGGAAGTTGAGCTGTGGTTCAAGTAGTGAAGTGCCAGCCCGAGCAAACAAAAGCTAAGGGATAGAATCAAGGACCTGAGTTCAAGCCCGAGTACTGGCACAAAACAAATCAGACAAAAAAAAAATCCAAACAGACAAAGAGAATATCTGGATTTCTGTGCTCAATTTTATGCCACAGAGCAGAGGAAGAGTCTGAAGTGCCACACCTGACCTAAAGTGCCTGGGAAAATGAACTAATTTATTCACTATGCTATATATTAACCATGGGCATAGGTCATCTGACTACCACAAAATCCTGTAGAAGTATTTGTGAAGTTTCTCCATTTAATGCTGAAGTTTGAACTTAGATTCAACTTGGAATACATGTTTTGACACCATCTTTTAACCCCTCCACCCCCCGCCCCCCCCCCCCCCCCGAGCTGTGACTCTCCACCAGAGGGCGTCACATATGCCACAGGAAGGATCCAGTAGCATCAGTTGGGAACCACTACTCTGCTTCATGGGTGCCATCCATTTCTATCTGACAGGGCTTCATTGTGGCAACAAGAGAGGTTCTCGCAAGACAGCCATCTGAGTGATCTGATTTAATACTCACAAGATTGGAAACTAGGAGAGATGGAAAAAGGAAAATAAACAAAAATGGCAATAACACTAAGATGAGCTACTGTTTAGAATGCAGCTTCTTCAGACTACATAGTAGGTAAGCAATGTAATCATTTTATAAATGGCAAAAACTAATACTGAAGAGGAAGGAACTTGTTTAAGGAAACCCTGCAGGTCAGTAGTAAAGGTAGGATTTGAACCTAGGCCTGATTGACCACAGAGTTGGGCTTTTACCTTTAAATAAAGAATCAGGATGGGCACTAGTGGCACATGCCTGTAATCCTAGCTACTCAGGAGGCTGAGATTTGAGGATTGAGGTTCAAAGCCAGACCCAGCAGGAAAGTCTGTAAGACTCTTATCTCTAATTAAGCACTAAAAAGCTGAAGTGGAGCTGTGGCTCAAGTGGTAGCCCCAAGCAAGAAAGCTCAGGGACAGTGCCCAGGCTCTGAGTTCAAGCCCTAGAAATAACATTTTAAAAAATCTCAATAAGTCATCAGAATTAAGTGAATTAGTATATCTGTATTTGAGGGAAAAGTAGGGAGAAAGTCCTGGGGTCTTGGTTACCATTCCAGCACTGTTCCTCATACTGCGGAATGGGCAGGGTCGATTGCTGGTTATGCTCACCAGAAACATCCCTGCCTTAAACTTGTCTCCATTGCAGGTGGACCACTTACTGAACTTTTTAAACTTAGGCTTATTCAGAAAAAGAAGATCCCTTGCTGCTAGGCAAGTGCTACAGCCAAACAAACTGTATCTCTGCACCAAAATGCACACATAGGATGTATATAAACCATGAGCATGTACGTCACTTTTCCGTAAAATGTACAAACAACGTAAACAGATCAAGAAACAGACCCCTGGCCTTCCAAAGCCCCTCTCCCTATCATTACAGAAAGTTATAGCAATGAATTTCTCAATGCTTCACTAGTAAAGCTACATCAAGGGATTGGATGGAGGGCCATTACTAGGCAAGAGCTCTGCCACTGAGCTACATCCCAGGCCCAGGGAGCTGGCTTTAATTTTTTTTTTTAATTTTAATTTTTTTTAAGCTACTCGAACCTAGCTGCTGCTCCTCCTCCTCCTTATCAGTCCTGGGGCTTGAAATCAGAGCGTGAGCGCTGTTACTGAGCTTCTTTTGCTCAATTCTAGTGTTCTACCACTTGAGCCACAGAGCCATTTCTGGCTTTTTCTGCTTGTGTGGTACTAAGGAATCAAACCTAGGGCTTCATGTATGCTAGGAAAGCACTCTACCACTAAGCCACATTCCCAGCCTCTCTTTTTCCTTTTTAAGACAAGGTCTCCCAGGTACAGCCCAGGCTGATTTGGAGCTTCTGATCCTTATACTCAAGTCTCCTCAAGCCTTCCTTATCATACCTGTTTACCTGTTTTGTTTTTTTTTTCCTTTTTTGCTTATGTGGTGCTGAGGAATCGAACCCAGGGCCTCAAGCATGCAAGACAAGCGCTCTACCACTGAGCCACCTTCCCAGCCCGTTTACCTGTTTTTTTTTTTTGTTTGTTTTCAGCAGTCTTATTATATTTATTTCTATGACAGAACTAGGAAAAACATTGCCAGAGCACAAAATACTCAGCAACTTTAAGTTTTCATCAATAGTAAATAAGCAATCTTATCACTTTAGATATATAGTCGATCCCACCCCACAAAGGAGGAGGTGGGGGGGGACACAAGTGCAGTAAGGGGAGAAAGAAGATGGGTTCTGTGTTTTGTTCCAAAGTTTCTGATTCATCTATTCATTCTGCATCATCTTAGCATCTAGTGTGTGTGTATGTGTGTATGTGTGTGCAATATGGGTGATGGAACCCTGGCTGTGCACACACTAAGCACACACTGGATCACTGGGCCATACCCCCAGTGCCCTGGCAGCTACTGTTCACTGAGCACCTTTCTAAGAACTCTGCATGTGCTGTGACACTCCATCCTCATAATTAGCCTATGAGATTAGGACTATAGGGTTGTGTATCACTTGCCAGTAGTAATCCAGTGAATGAATGAGGCCTGGACCAGGCTTCTGACAGCTGAAGTACTGCAGCACATCTCCTTTTTACCAACCTTGCCCTCCACAGCCATCCTTGAAAGCTGGTGCTATTGGTATTCTCTTCCTACGTGGGGAGATCAATGTCAGGAGTAGGGAACCTACCACTGCAGATCCCATGTGAGCTAGGCACAGACTGTCTTTCTCTTTTAAATGGGCACTTAACACAGTGACTAGTGCACAGTGTACATCTAGACAAGGCACACAAGGATGTGATTATGATACTTGGTTCTATTCCTGCTATGTCAAAACAGAAATTTAACATATCATTGGAACAAATCAACCCAAATATTCTCATCAAACAAGGCAGAACTAAGGCTCAGAAAGGTGAAGGTGCTTTGCTTAAGGTTAAATGGCTAGTTCCTGATAGAGCTACAATTTAAACCATCAAGGATCATTTGCCCTTCTCTTAATTACAGAGCTGAACTGTCGGCCTACTGTAAGTTCCTATCCATCAAGTTCGGAAGGAATATTTGAGGATATTTTTAAGGCTTATTACATTAGCCAGACTTAAACTATTGCCAACACGAGAGAAGATTTCATCATGAGAAACAAAGCATTTGTGAGAAGTATAAAATTAGCGAGCCTTAGAGTTAGAATTTAAACCTTCTTGCTTATGCAAGAGACAAACAAGGTCCTGGAAGGAGTGGAGTGGCAGAGCTGGGTATAATTTGGCTCTCTGATCACGTGAGCCTGCTACAGGCTCTTCTCTTCCTACATAGGAGATCAATGTTAGGTGCAGGTAACCTACCACTGCAGACCCCATGTAAGCCAGATACAGACTGTCTCTCTTTGGATGGGGCCCTTAACACAGTGACTAATGCACAGTGCATATCTAGACCCAAGGATGTGATTAAGAAACTTGTTCTATTTCTGCTATGCCAAAACAGAAATTTAACATATCACTGGAACAAATCAATCCAAATATTAGGAGCCAGTTAGTTCCAGTTAGCCAGTGAAGATCCTAATATAACCCCTGAGATCACTGCCAAGCTTGTGGAGTGACTCAGCCATGAGCTCTGTGGGGAAAGAAGGCAAGGGGCAAAATGGTCTGAGGATAGCAGGGAAGCTGAAGTCAATCAGACTGAAAAGTCTCGAGTTAGGTCTATTTCTAATCCTCTGCTTCATAAAGAAGGTGACAAGAGAGAGCACTCGGGTAGGGGAAAGGATGTGCTTTAGATGTCATTGTTTTAACATTTACTCAGAACACAAATACCCTTATTCAGACCACATACAAGTTGCATATAATTTCTTCGCTCACTTCTTCACAGATCACTGATATAAAGAGCTCAGTTCTTCACCTATTCGTGTACTTACCTAACTGCACATCAGTTGTGAATCGCAGTCTGTGAATCATGCTGACTTTGAATGACTTGTAATGGTGGCTGCTAAGCATATCCTGTACTGTAGCTATGTCAATTTGTGAATCCTCTTCAAAAACCCCGTCTGCCCTTGAACCTGGGGAGGGAAAAATGCAGTTTAGCTCATAAAGATACATGAGGCTTGGCAAATGGTGTCTGCTTAAAATGCTTTGGGATAAATTAAAATACTATGGGCTATTTAATTTGGAGAAGAAAAGGCTGAGCGATGACTTAATAATGCCATTCCAGTAAACAGAGAGTGGTAATATATTAATCACTCAACAATTAATTCCACAAACACTGCTTATGCCATGGCTGGGCAGTGGGGAGAGAGGATGGATACAAAAACCCCCACTTACTCTCAGCAAGTAGCTAGGTCCTCATGTGTCAGTGGAAATCTCAAGGTGTGTGTGTGTGTGTGTGTGTGTGTGAGAGAGAGAGAGAGAGAGAGAGAGAGAGGGAGAGAGAGAGAGAGAGAGGCTCTTCTTGTTTCTTCAGTGTGATTTTCCAGATCACAGGAGTGATCCATGTTCTTTGAAGAAGCCTTGTCCTTTCCTAATTCCCAAACCATCTGGCCAGCAGCTTTCCAGCTTATGCCCTACAGCCCCCCTGGTTCCGGCAGGAGCCTGCTGGTCCTGAGATGTCTGTGACAGTCTCCTCACTAGCTATCAGGCTCCCCCCCTGCAATGCAGCCACCATCAGACTTTCTGATTCATCTTTCTAAAGGTTTGATTATTCATTTACTCACCAAGTATTTGTGAGAGCCCTGTGCATGTATGTTAAGTACCTTGCTATGTGACATGGGCTACAAACACAATCACTAACGTAATCACTAGTCTTCAAAAACCTTCCCTGTCTTCCCAGAACCTCTCAAGTGAAGCACTTTTTGCGGCCAAGCAATCATGGCAGCCCATAATCTAGAGTAAGCCCTATCTAGTCTTCTTTGTCCTTTCTCACAATACCTTCTCTCAGTGACTCCCAAACTCCTCAAGCAGCACACAGAATGTCATATGTCTAGGGGTTTCTACTTCTGGATCTATACTCCCATAGTACTCTTGGCTTAGCATATTCTTTCCACCTTTGCCATAGACCTGTCAGAATCTGCCTCCTACCCCAGGCTAGCTCAAACTCCAACTCTTCTGTGTAACCATGCAATCTTTTCTGATGACTCTGACTGGCAATGAACTCCACAACAGTGGGTCCATCCAGACCCTGGATCCAGGTGGACCTGGGGCTCAAATCCCAGCTCTGCCTCTAATTTGCTGCATGTTGTTGCACAATCAACTGTGGTTCTCTGAACTTGTTTTTTGCTACCCATAAAGTATCAAAGTTCATGTAAAAAATCTAATATGTAATATGCTTAGTAAATATGTCACAATTATTTTTATTCAGTGGTTAGAAAGCTTATTCACCCTTGCCCAAGGATTTTTGGGTGGTTGCTTTGACTTAATATGGAAACTTTATCAGGTCAGTAAAGTTTCTTTTTCATCTTTGTATCTTCTTCTACAGGCAGTTTAGGCAACTGTTACGTTCTCATTAAGTTTTGCCAAGTGAAAAATAGCCAGATACATGGTGCTTATTGTGTCAAGTGTGTATAAAGCACTTCTGTTACACTATAATCTCATGACAATCTGGTAGGTTTCAGAGATTTCCATTTTATACAGGTGAGGAGCCCAAGGCTTTGGAGATAAGTATATCCCAAGGTTACACTAAACAAAGGCAAAGCATCTGCTGGTTCCTAGAGGCTGAATTTCTGAGGTGCAGTTTGCTCATGCCATCCAGGGGTAAAGTGAGCACTGATCTGGCAGAAGAGAGGGGGCCCTATGCCCGGCGCTGACCATCCAGGATGGCACCACAGGATTCAGAGAACTCCTTGGGACAGAGTTGGGGGGAACAAAATACTCTAGATCTGGGTGTTGAACTGGAATTTCTGTTATATAACTGGTAGCTTGGGATGCTTTGCATTGCCTACTTACAAAGCTGTTTACGAAACTGGTTTTTGTTTCCCCATTGACCCCATTGTCTGTCAAAGAGGAACCACAAGTTGTTTGCAAACACTATGGATATTCACATGTTGGACAATTTCAGCACCTCCAATAGGCTCTGCTCTTGTGAGAGGTCTGGTAGAGCATCCTACACCAGCTTCCCTCCTTGCCCAGGTCACCCAGCTCTCCATCTCACTCCCTTCTGGCCCCTTCCCTATTTTTCCTGAAGAGCTTAGCTCTAGTGAGGATCTAGGAGAGTCCCCTGAGCCAGGCCCTCGGTCTACCTTGGCTCCTTCTGCCACTGCACCCTTCATCTCCCTTCAGAACAGATATCACCCTAGACTGGAGCCCTAAGAGGACAGGCATCACTATGGCTGAACTCAGCACTATAGTCCTGGATGCTATGGAGGAGGGCAGTACAGAGGAGAAAGAAAGCAGAAACCCAATAAAAACTACTGGATTGCTAGGCATTGGTTCATGTCTACAATCCTACCTACTCATGAGGCTGAAATCTGAGGATTGTGGTTTAAAGCCAGCTGTGGCAGGAAAGTCTGTGTGAGATTTTTACCAACCACCAAGAAAAAAAAAATCCACAAATGGAGTTGTAGTTCAAGTGGTAGAATGCCAGCCTTGAGCTTAAAAACTAAGGGACAGTGCCTAGACCTGAGTTCAAGTCCTAATACTGATACAAAAACAAATTAACTTCTTGATGAACTTAGGGTGGCACGTCCCAGTAAAATGTTAGGAGGTAAGGCCTTGGTCCCAGTATACCATGGGACATGGGCATGGCACTCCACCTCTGTGCAACTCGTGTCCTTTCCCTGCAACACCTGTGATTTTGGATGGAGGTACTATGATCACAGCTCCTGAGAGAGGTCTATGCCAGAATGAGAGGTTGGCTATGGAAAAATAATCAGTCACTTTCTCTAATCTACATTTTTACTGAAACACAATTGATAAAACGTATTTATTTCTATTTTAGAACTTCTTATATGTGAGAATTAGAATTCTTCTAAAATACTAAAATCCTTTTATGCTCTAAGTCATCTAAAGCTATCTTTTCTGGGAAATGCCATTATTAGATATAACTTAGCTCTGAGTTCTTGTTTTCTTTACTAATTAGTATTTTCTAAATATTTCAGGTATTTGATTTGCAAAGAGGTAACACCTTATTATGCTAAAATGCCAATTACTAAAAGGAAAAAAACACACTTAAGATTTTTCCATTTTATGATGTTGGATTAAAACCAATTTAAAAATTACTATAACGTGACATATAATTTTTTACTGAGCAATCTCAATGCCAGCTGCTAATAAAGCAGCTTAGCTGTAAATGATAATTCAGATGCTTTTAGATAAAGTGGTGCATAAATATGGCTAGAAATTGATTTAGCTTCTTTAAAGAAGCTACTGAAGAATGACATATTTTGTTTAATACACCAGCTAATGTAGTCCTAAAAGCTCAAACAAGTGCCAGTTTTCACTCTTAAATTTGCTGTGGGAGATTAATGAAAACTTTATATTTTGCTGAAATGTTAATAATGGGCAGATGAGATGATAGGATTTTAGTAGAGGTCTTAAAGCTATGGAATAACCAGAAAGGCTTGTCAATTTCCTTATATTAATTTTGTTCAAGACTTAGAGAGCTGGAGCTGGCTCAACACGCTAATGCTTTGTGCACTGACCTTCTACTCTCTGCCAGTATAAATTCATATCCCAACTGAGGATTTCAGTCCCTCTGATACTTGGGTGAGTCTTGAGCCTTGCCCCTGTTGACAAGGGGCAGCTTTGCTTTTATGATCAGGAGGGCAGCAGTACCTGGAGGAGCAGGAGGGCACTGTCCTGCACTCTTCAGGTCAAGCTGCTCACTGCAGAACAGGCTGTCTGCTGAATGAGAACAGCTGCTGGGCACCAGCTCCAGTAGCATTTGTCAAACAGGCCCACGAGTGTGGCTTCTCTGTGGCACATGTACATCTGTGTCTGTGTCTATATCTGTGTCAGTGTCTGTCACTACTGGGGCTTGAACTCAGGTCCTGGGTGCTATCCTTAGCTTTTTGGCTCAAGACTGGTGCTCTACCACTTGACCACACCTCCACTAAGGAACATATACCTTAACAATCACTTCTTCCTCATGCCTTAGAAGTAGGCTACCTTGTGGGAGGGCACTGGTGAGGACCAGGCAGGGCTGTGATCTGTAGGGGCTTGTAATCTAGCAGCAGAACCTAAAGCAAGCAGCACAAGACAGAGCGAAATGCCCAGTAAATGGTGTATACCAAATACTTCATCTAAAGTTAAAATATTATATCCAAAGCATGTTTTGGGACCAGAAAAGTTTTATGACTTGGTGTGTGTAACCTTTACTGTTTGTATCCTTTTGGAAAAGGGTGAACTCAGCCACATAGGAAACGTGCTTGGCACCATACTGTTTGGATATCAAAATTATTGCTGTATTATGAACTTCACATTAAAAAAAAACCCCACTTGTGTTAAGAAGACATTTTATCTTCTTAAAGTGCAAAGTAGAGAAAAGGAAAATGTCTTAAAAATAAACATATAAAAAAAATTCCCAAAGCTTTCCTCCCCAAGCCATTAATTTAGTTGAAATATAACCCTTTGGTATTTTGTTAAATTAGCAATTAAAAAGGTCACAAGCAATTAAAGGAAACAAAAGCCACACTGTGTTCATCTACATTAATGCTGAACTGGGTCTCCTGGTGAATGACAAGATAAATTGTAATGGTGTCTTCAAAGACTTCACAATGTATTTTGTCAAAGTCGGGAGTGTTAATGTCTCTATGTGCCATGGATTACCATAATGTATTGTGTCAAAACCCTTGAGCTGCAATAACTCAAAGATGTATTGTGATAGATCAAATTTCAGGGTGGGGCCTAATAGCAACACGAGCACCAGAACTCAAATGGACTGACAACAAAAGCCCTGGAAGAAAGACAGAAAATTCATTCACCATGCAGAGAGGTCTAGGGGGCAAGCAGAGAATTCAAGAGTGAAGCAGCTTAACTCCCCAGAGTAGAAGGTCAGGAAGGAGGAATAGGAATGGACCTGTCATCTGTCTTAGGGGAAGATGGCCAACCTAGGCTGGGACAAGTATAT